AACATACTCGCAAGACGTGTAAGATAGTGTACAGGCCTAGCTGAGGACCATATTCGCGAGTCGCTCTTCCAGGGCTTACAGCGCCGCATAACGCTTTTTTAGATAAGGTAACTCTATAGCGCCCTAAAGCACTGCAACATAGCTGACCCAGAAGGCCGGAGAACTGTGTCAACACCAATCGTCCGGGGCCGGCGCGCCCGGCGCGGCTCGCCGAATGCAGCAGGTCACATTGGCTAGCCGATAGCTTTGCAGTTGGAGCATGACGTACTTGTAGCGTACATCCGCGATTTACCACATTTCATCAATAATTGAAAATCTAACGATGTTTTTCTTGATAGTAACACACAATTGTTTGGCGGATCCATAGACGCAACTTCAGGAAATAAACAAATACAAAAGAAATTCAATAAGCATGTTAGTCTACCTATGTTCGTGTGGTTAACATGATTCCCGCAGTCGTCAGCGTCAACATTTAATAGATGAATGGTCAAGTTTTCCTGTGAGCTGGTGTAAAAAATGACAGACCAGAGCAAATGTTAAAGACCCAAACAGTTCATGCTCTGATGAATTTTTCATACTCTATGGAGAAACAAAGAAAATACTGAAAACTTAACCCAACTGAACACAAGGCTCAATCCTGCTTAATATAAGTCTTTACCGTCCCTTCAATATCCTAATTCAAACGGCCAGACGCATCATTCGTCTTCTCGCCGCAAGGATGTCGCAGGCCACGCCCACCAGCTGCACCGGACGATTCTGTTGCTACACGCCCCTAGAAAGCCTACCACACTCACCCGCCCACAATAAGTCGACCAATGCTGGTGCTCGCGTCCTTCATTTGCGAAGTACAATATGGATGGATAAGGAAGCAAAGGGATTGATATGCAGCGGCCCTAAGGTAGCGCTTATTGGCACGATGCCAAAGGGAAACTAGTCCAAAACTGCTCTTCGTGCAGTACAAAACTTTTCTGCAGGTTTTTAACTGTTTCACTTTCCTATTTTACCATTTCCCCACTACTTAGCACCCCTGCTACCATTTTAGAACGAGCACCAAATTATCGTGTCTTATGCCTTCAAGAATAGTGTTGACCGTGCAGCATGCAGCGCACCGGACGAAGTGATGACCTCGGTGAGGAGCGATTGCATGCGCAACACGCACATTAACTTTTTCAACTTCCCCAACGAGTGAAGGTGGTGGTATTATTCGATGGTACTGCCAGAGCGTTCCGTTATCCGTGGTAGTTCCCCGCCCATTTAACGTTGGTGCTGTTCATCTAACCTAGAGGAGTGTTCGTGGAAGCATGTCTGGAAGGTCTAGACTGTAACCGTAATACTCACAAATGAGTTCCTTCTTCTTCTTGAGGGCAAATGAGACGATGATATATCTCCATCTCATGTGCGGGGTTAATACGCCTAGCAAGGAAGAACTCGGCGCCCCTCAGCAGGCGTAGAATGGCTCCTTTTCCAACTAAGGACACTGTCGTAGTGCCTAATCAAGGTGCAGGCGTTCATCGCAACGTAATTCGGAAATGAGTTAACTTCAATCCGCCATACATTTTTTGGATCTGTCAGTAATGCCTCAATGCAAGGCACAATACTCCTTGAGGGGTGACAAACAATACTTCTTCTTTTGCATTTTTGAATTTTCGTAATTGTCATTGGTTTTTCCCCTCTCGTCCTCTGTTCAGTTAGTAATTTTTTTTCTAGGTTTCTCTAATTTTTTTCTAGTAGCGTGAGAATTCAGTCATGTTTGTGGACGTTTCTGCTTCTTTTTCCTTTTTCTTCAACCTATGCTTCAGTATGCAACTGTCTATTACTAAGTCTATATCCCCGCCTTCCCTCCCTCCCCCCCCCCCTTCGCTGGGCCTAGGGAGAGGCTTGGCGGATCTATTGGGTCGGCCCATAAGTAATGGCGTTTTTCCCCCACTCAAAATATCGCGCTGAAGATGAAAAGTTTTGCATTGAGTTTTACACCATTTTGAAGAGAATTCCTTGCCCTATACGAGGACCCTCTTAGTATCTCCGAAATGTCTTTTTCCACCAGTATTTAAGCGCTCAAACTGGAGTGTCAGGTCGACGAAATTGAGCATTTTCGACAGCCTCTCTTTTTCACCTCTAATAAAAAAGCAACCGGCCCAGCTGCTAAACATATTGCTGAAAAGGCTATGTATCTTAGGAATGCTATTAATACTTCAAGTGATTCGAAGATCTTAGTTTTGACTTCACAGACAAGCATCGAACCTTGCCTATTCTGTCCAACTGAGAGCTTACGGAATTACCTTATTAACTGAGAATCATGCCAAAGATTGAGGGATCGTTAGAGGTCATAGAATGCTTCCTTATCATTATCAACCACCACCCTCAGTTGATGTTAGACGTTCGAAAATAAGTGGGTAGGTTCTGCAGGCAGTCCCTCCCCAAGAGGGCCCCACGCGATGCTCTTTTACAAGGTCCGAATTCCTCGCTTTAACTAACTTCAAGCTGTCATAAGACGCATATATATCACATGGTTTGAGCTTCTTCTGTAGATGAGAGCTGAGATAAAATTCAAAAAGTAGTTGTCGAAAACTCACTTTTGGGTCGACCCGAATTTCCCTTTCAATGAAATAAAAATCGATAGAAATCAAAAATGGTAGGAAGGCATTTATGCCATCTTATACCGCGGAAAATTATCTACCAAATAGTGCAGAACATATTGGGAACAACTGTCACTTTCCATGTAAAACATTGGGTGACGAAAAAACACCATTACTTATCTGCCAACCTAATACTAAGTTGGTATCGGGGGCCATCCACACACTGGCTTGCGAACTTGCCGACACATTGCCTTTCGTTCTCCAATTTTTGGCCCTCCCTTCAACACTCCTCCTCCCTGCCTAACTGGCCTAACTCGTTGCCTAACTTTTCTGTGCCTTATTATCTATATTTTTTTACAACTCTATTGCAATTTTTGTCTCCACTCTTGCTGTAGCAATGTATACACTATTAGTTGCAATAGTAAACCCTACTACGTAGCACCCCTGCCACTATTTTTAAGCATTTCTCGAATTATCTATTCCTTTAAGGGCTTCGAATATGTGCAGAAAGAGCGAGGGTCAAGGATATTCGGTTTTATCAACCTGACTCCAATTCGATCTCACGATCACCTTAAATAATGGTGCACTTCAAACGACCGGCATACTGTCATGAATGGCATGGGAATTGTACCTATTCATCTTGAAAAAAAACTCGGGAAAGAACCATTACCTATGAGCCAACTTAAAGACACATGGTACGCTCAAACACATTAAGGGTGTATATGAGACTAACAGCCCCCCCAGCTGTCGATGTGTCGTGGTTTCCCCGCCCGAAACTGCACGGGGTTCCTAGTACGGGACCGTGGGAAAGGCTTATTCCTTGCTACACCGCCCAAAATGCACCGCGCGCAGGTTGCATTTCGCCGCGCGCAAGTTGCATTTCGGGCGGCGCGTAGCAAGGAATAAGCCATTTCCACGGTTCTCGTACTCCGGCACCCCCGTGCGTTTCACGCGGGGACCACGACACATCGATTAGCTGGGGGCTGCTTCCAGTCTCATACACCCCCTCAATGTGTTTTGAGCGTACCATGTGTCTTTAATATTCGCACGCTGCGGCCTAGTTTGTGCCTTTTCTTGGTGGCATCTATGTCGCAACTCATTTATTACAAAGATTTTGTCTTCGCTCGAAAGCTCAGATGCAGCCAAAAAGCCGAGAAGAGATAAATAGTCAAGCCGAATGATGTTCATTGGGGAGGAGTGGGGTAGGGGTGAGGGAAATAAAACTTTTCCCCTCATAGAGTTTACTATCAAACTTTACTTCGCGTAGAGTGGCAGGCTACATGACGGATCTATGTTAAAATGGTCCTCACCATAAGATGGTTCCTCATTAGCAGGAGCAACCTCTCCATGTAGCCCCCTCCCCTATCACGATAGGGATTTACCATATCATCGCCGCTAAGCCTAAGGAAGTCTGGAGAATACTACTAAAGAGTATCTACCTGAAGTAATTACGTGGTTTCCTACCTTACTAACTACAGAGTTAAGTCAGCTTTTCCTTGAGAGCGCCGTAAGAGCGGTGGGAAACAGCGACTGTCCACTCTCCAGACAATGTCGCTATGATTTGTGAGTCTTTCATGAAGTAACCATAATCCAACTGAACATTAGCATCTCTGCATTCTAGTCTCGTAGATTGAATGAAGTAGGAGGTTGTTTGAATTGAGACCAGTACCCAATGTATGGCTGTAGCTCGTCACATTTCAGGCGCCGCATCGTACGCGAATCAGCCCATCTTAGCTATTTAAATCAACCTGCCAGATTGGTAAGGTTATGGTATTCTTCATTTCACGACATCAGCTTGTATGCGAAAATTTGCGACTGTGTGCAATTGCGTATGCCGAGAGGCTAGGAGAAGTATCCTAACGTTCAGATTCAATACCGATGTGATGTAATATGGAGTATAGAAGGTATTCCGGAATAATCACAACAAGTTATACCCAGTTATGATTAAAACTGTTCACAAAGTCGCGGTAGCCTCTCCGTGTACGCCAGGGTTCCCAAAAATAGCAGTGTCAACTGGAAACCAATAGGGCTATGGAACACACCCTGCCATGACTTACTTCTGGTGGATTGAGTCAACTAGCCACGATGGGCCAACAGCATCATGATCACCCTCATGCTGCACCTCGGATGTGATGAGCTAAACCGCCAGGTTTACGTCTCGGGTATATACCTACCCCGTCACAAGGGTTCTCGGAAATTCATTGCAGTCTTTCGATTGCCCCCTCACGTATACATATGAGAATCTTAGTACGCTTAGATATTACATACAAGTTTACTTCGACATCTACACTCTCTTATCCATGAGATGGAGCAGGCGTGTCATTTCACATGGCATAAAATGTGCTACTCGTGGGATCCTGCCGCAATTCGGAGATGTAAGCGACTGCTGAATATGAAGTGAAAGAAGGTCAAGGTGAGTGGAACCTACCTTATTGGAGCTTTTGCGACATATACACTATAACACAATTCGGAATTTTCAGGACACATCCTATCAATTTGGACCCTGAAAATGAAATGTTTCCAAAATATACTGGCATTATGGTGCCAAAGAAATAGGTCCAGTTACGCTGCCGTGGCGTGCGGCGATTGAGGTCTTATTTATTTATTTATTTATATTCATTCTTTTATTCATTTATATATATCCATTTACTTACCTCTTTATTTACCTATTTGTTTTCATGTTTTGTTTTCACATTACTCTATTGCTTATAGACTAAATGCCTGCCACCAAACATGCCAATACAATTCACAATACGTAAATTAGGCAAGTCCCTAAACGCAAGAAACAAAACAAAAGAGCCATCTAAATGTTAATCCATATCCGTTGATGGAGGGCGTGGTCACCTGGTCCAATTGCGCATACGTGGCCGCGGGCGCATTTTTAGTGTGCTATTGTCATTTAGGGCAACTACAATTACGTCTTTGTCCAACAACAATATTAAGTGGATAGTAAGAACATGGCCGTCCCCAATGGAAAACACATCACAAAAAACGCATCTTCCACTATGCCTAAGTGAGGTACGCTGCCTTCTCCGTCTTCGAAATCTGGAGTGGAACTATGCTCTACACAATCGTCGACTGTGTATGAGACAGATAAAATAAGGTTCGATAAAATGACAAAAGATTAGATCAAAGGAAGCGAGAATAGGCAGAAATCAGTACAATCTCTCAAAACTTTCCTTTTATGTGAATTTTCACACAAAACTCGGCCTCATAATGGATCAAGACGGCTGCGTCAAAAACCTTTTGTGGGCAGCTCGACCAGTCTTCTGAGCACCGCCCCGGGTCCAGCGCGGGCGCGGTAGTCACTTTGTTCGGAACAAGGATTCACTGGCAATATGACTGAGAGCTCATAAACCACTCTATTCATTCCATTTCAAAGACGGTTCACGATCAGGTATAGAAGTTGAAAATATGGCGTCGGGAGGGTAATGTGGTCCACGTCTGACAACCTTGTGCCGGTTTCGTGACAAAAAAAATCGTATGGGAAGGGTGCTATAGCGCAATATACGTTCAGTGACGCCTCCTTGTTTCCAGCGACTCTGCCTCCAGACTCTGCCCTCATTGACCGCCTTTCAATTGAAAAACGAAGCCTGGCAGAAACTAGAAAAGTTATGAAAAACTGTAACTTTACGAGTTGACTAGCTTAAACGCGAGGATCTAGACTGTGCAGACGGGTGGTCCGTTGGAGATGAATATGCGAATCAAATGAGTAAAAATTGGGCACCTTCAAATTGGGATCGAAGTGGGGTTCTATCTAGGATAAGTGGCATGTTTTTTTTTTGCTTTTTTCTTTACTATTGAGTTACTCATCACATTGTCGTCCAAGGGCTTCGCCTTTGTAGCCTTTGGAAATCAATGCTACGAAAGGCTCGGATCTTTCAGGTCACATTTGAAATGTTGTTGCCTCGGTTAGAAGTTATAAATACTGTAATTGACGTGACTCGCCATAATCGTAAGATCAAAGAGCAGCTGAAGAGTCTTAGTGACCTGGATTGAGACATCTGTTTCTGACTCGCGAAGGCATCTTCTCTCTATATATAAGCAGAAGTTGTTTGTGCGGGTTGTGCGTCTGTCTGACCGCCTGAAATTGGGGTTTCGTGGAAATTCACTTTAAGGGAACTGATTGTGCTTGGATAGACGTGGCATGGGCCAGCATTTGCAGAGCACACACAAGCTCACCTAAGCTCCGCCCACAATGGGCGGGGCGTTCGCCGAAGTGGACAAAGCCGAGGATAAAAATCCTCAAAACGCATCCGGAGCAGACCAGGAAACGGGGAATATGGGTGAAACTGAGCAACGGGTAGGTAGATAAATCAAGGGACAGACACCCGTAAGCAGTATATGATGCACCAAACGTTCACTGCCTTCTGCTACAATTCACTCTCCGAATCCTGAACACTAAGGCTGCCCTATAGAAAATTTGGACGACCGCATTCTAAAGGAGGAGGCCACTTCACACACACAAGGAAGATCACCCGGCGAAGCCGTGCGATCCGACTGGTAGTTTGTAACATTGCACTTTGTAGGGGGCGGCGAGCGCAGCGCTGCACGAACACGCGTCCGGCCGCCTTGCTATGCCAATGGTAATCGAGCAATGATCAGTTCTTCTTCTTCTTCTTCTCCCTAGCGTTAGTCCCGCGCCGTCGCAGGGTCCGCTGTTCTTGTTAGACGTCGCCACTTGTTCCGATCCACTGCATCTTCTGCCGTGGCTTTCACTTCAGTGAGGTCCTTCTTGATGACGTCCCTCCATCTTTTCTTTGGGGCTCCTCGTGGTCGCTTGCCCTCTGCTTCGAATTCCAATGCCTTCCTTATTGGGTGGTCCTCAGGCCTTCTCAGCACGTGCCCATACCATCGCAGTCGCTGCTCTCGTGCCTTCAGCTGGATCGGAGCCGTCTGTGTGACCGCCCTGACGTCCTCGTTTCTGACTCTGTCGAGTCGTGTCCAGCCGCAGGCCCATCTCAGCATCCTCATTTCAGCTGAGTGGAGCTGCCTTTCATGGTTCTTGCAGATAGGCCAGCACTCACTGCCGTAGTAGGCCTTACCACCGCCCGGTACACCTTGCCCTTGAGCGTTCTCGAGCACCGCCGGTCGCACAGGATGCCAGTGGACTCCCTCCATTTCATCCAGGCTGCGTTGATTCGGGCTTCACCGCCTGGTCCACGCTGCCATCAGCTGCTAGGTCGCTCCCCAGGTACTGGAAGTCCTCGACCCTTTCGATGCTCTCGCCGTGACGGTCTACGATGGGTTCGGTACACTCTTCAGAGCTCAGGAACTTGGTCTTCTTCACGTTCAACCGGAGTCCATTCTCAGCGAGCACATCCTGCCACCGCTGCACCTTGTCCTGGAGTTCCTCCCTGCTGTCCGCTATCAGGGCGATGTCGTCAGCGTAGAGGATGGAGTGGTCCCTCCATGAGTTCTTTTGCCATGACATCTAGAGTCAGGAGGAAGAGGAACGGGCTGAGGGCTGATCCTTGGTGTACCCCAACCGTGATGTTTACCTCCTTCGTCAAGCCGTGCGGGGTGCGTACAGCTGCTTTAGCCCCATCGTACATGTCCTTCACTATGGAGATGAGGTGTTCCGGAACGTTACGTTCTCTGAGCGCTCTCCAGAGTACAGGCCGAGGCAGGCGGTCGAATGCCTTCTCAAGGTCCAGGAAGGCTAGGTAGCAGGGTCGCCGCTTCTCTCGGTACTTCTCCATCAGCTGTCTGGCGATGAAGATGGCATCGGTGGTGGACCTCTCGGGCATGAAGCCGAACTGTTCCTGCGAGATAGGGACAAGTTCCCTCAGCCTAGTGTTGACCAGGCGCTCGTACAGCTTCATGGTATGGGGAGTCAACTTGATGCCGCGGTAGTTGGAGCACTCCGTCGCGTCCCCTTCGTTTGAAGATGGGGACGATTGTGCTGCTCCTCCACGCATCTGGCATCCTTCCTTCAGCCGTTACATTGTTTAGGAAGTCTGTTAGCCAACTCACCCCAGCTCTCCAGGGCCTTCCATGCCTCTATCGGTACCCCGTCTGGACCCACTGCTTTCCCAACTTTCATTCTCCCTAGCTCCCGGCGGACTTCATCCTTCGTCCAGGGAGTGATGGGACCTGCCGTCGCCTCTATCTGTGGGCTGCTGCGGGGAGTTCTTCGAAGTCCTTGAAGTATTCTTCCCATCTCTTTCTGACTTCGGCTGGTTTCCTGAGAATGGCCCCGTTGCTGCTCTTCACAGTCTTTACGACCCTGATGTCCTGAGCAGCGCGATGCCGAGCTTTAGCCAGGCGGAAGACGAACTTGTCCCCTTCTCGGCCTTCCAGCTTCTCGTACAGGGCGTCCATTTCCGTATTCTTGGCCTTAGCAACGGCTGCCTTAGCGAGTCGCTTGCAGCTCTTGTAGGCAGCGTAGTCTTCTGGGCTCCGTGTCTTTTGCCAGCGTTTGTATGCTTCCTTCTTCTGCTTGACGATCCTCTGGACTTCCTCGTTCCACCAGGCTGCCTTGTCTCCTCTGATACCACCTCGCGTCTCTCCCAGGACTTCCTTTGCACACTGTAGGATGACCTCTGCTGCGTAGGTCCAGGTGTCCTGGACTGGCCCATGTGGGTCTGGGAGCCCAGCCTCCAGTATTCTTCGGCCGAGGCTATCCTTTTCTACCTTGCGCATTTTCCACCACCGAATTCTTCGCTCTGCTCTCACCTTGGGAGGTCTATGGCGATGTCTGCCAGGAGAGGCCTGTGCTGAGGGCCCAGCTCTTCCCCAGGCAGTACCTTGATATCCTTGACGGTTTTGAGAGACGATCTTCTGACCAGGACATGGTCGATTTCCGTTTGTCTCCCTCCACTGCTGTAGGTTATCTTCTGAGTCCTCGCGAAGAAGGTGCTACAGATTGCTAAGTCGTGGGCTGTGGCTAGGTCAAGGATCCGTTCTCCCTCAGCGTTCTTTGCCCTATTCCTTGGCCTCCGTGCACCCTTTCTAGACCCCTTCTGTCATTTCCCACATGGCCATTCAGATCCCCAGCTATGGTGAGGTAGTCATCTTCCGGAACCGATCTTATGGCCTCGTCCAGGGTCAGGTAGAACTCATCCTTTTCCGCCTCGGAGCAACCGGATTGTGGTGCGTACACGGTCAGTACTGTCCAGTACCCCTCCTTCGTGTCCATTCTCACTCCCATGATCCGATCACTGATTCTGTTCACAGAGGAGACGCAGTCCTTGAGGGATTCTGCCACCGCTATGGCCACGCCATTCCGTTTGGTGTCTGCTCCATTGTAGAAGAGTTTGACGCCTTCTCCAATCTCGCGGGCCTTCGCACCCTTCCATCGCGTTTCCTGAAGGCATAGGACTTGGATATTCCTCCGTCTCATGAGGTCGGCAACCTCACGAGACTTCCCGGTAAGCGACCCCACGTTCAGGGTCCCAATTCGAACTAGCTTCTTTGGCCGAGGTCGTTCACCCCTCGGTAGCCCTCGCATACTGACCACAGAACTCGGGCGAGGGTTCTGCGCGCCACTTCCGGGTGACGTCCTAGCTTTAACACTGATACTTTTGCGACTTGTCATGGTTGTTGTGACGGGTTCCTCCATCAGCCGGCCTGTCAACCTGGGCCTGACGCTGGTATCGTCCCCATTTTGCAAGTTTTTGCAAGGCAGGTTTGTGAGCTTGAGTCTACACTCTTAACCACTCGGCTATCCGTGTCTCAATCGAACAGTGATCAGTGTAAGAAGGAATCAGCCACGGGTGGGAAGGTCGCGGGTGGGGACCGCTGACTGCAACACGTGAGGTCGCGGTGATAGAATCTCTATATTCCAAGCGCTGCAATGATGGTCTGTCATCGTAGAAACCTTAACACAACACAAAATCACCTTAACACACCGTGTTAAGGTGATTTTGTGTTTGTTCGAATGTGCGCTGGTTTGCGTAGAAGTAATGGTCCAAACATCGTAGGTTCTCTAAAGAGATATTTTAATTTTTTTTTCTGGAATGGCTCTACGACTTCCACTGAACAGAATACAAGAAACACTGACTGGCCAGGCGAGACATAACTTCCTCGAAAGAATCTCACTGAGGAACACTGCGTGGTCTGTATGAGGCTGCGTTCATACTTTGTGGCAGCATCCACTAGCAACCATTAGCGTCCGGCAGCATCAGTGACTGGGAAGGTGTAGATATCGACTTACCGTTTCTCTAGCCCTCGAGACGCTGTTGGTCGCTGGTAGATGCTGGATGAAGCCACATCGATATCTATTTCCTGCTCATTGAAAAAGCTGCTGGATGTTCGGAACGCTAGTGGTCCCTGGTGGACGCTGACGCAGTCCTGGAAGAGTTCTTCAAAGCCGCCAGGGGAATTTTCCCGGTTGCCGATTTTTCCCGTTTAACACGCTCTATATAGTTCCCTTTGTTGGCTACATGGCTGCGCAGCAAATTTACGATACCATCACTGCTCCTAGTTATTGGTGATAGATGAGCTTCTAACTCTCCCCCTCCCCCACCTCGCTCGCTCCAGTTCTCTGAGGAAAATGTAATTTTCTAGGGATTCTTAAGTAGTTGAAATTTGGTAGGACGGTAGGTACATAGGAGGTAGGACGCGGGAGGGAGTCATGCTGGGAGAACTACTTAGGAGGGGTTGCCCAGTCACTATCAAGCACCCATCGCGATGCCGTACTCACTACCGTCACTCGACTCCATACCGTAGTTTAGGCTGCTCACGAAGTGGAACTCCTTAAAGGAGCGGTCCGCGATGACCTATGAAAATGCAAGAGGTTATGTGGAAAGGTAGTGCAGGTCCGGAGTGGACAACCCTGTGCCAGTTTCGCGGCGTTGCTTCAGTGGTACATCCCTTTTCCAGCGACTCCGCCTTCTGACTCCGCCTCCAAAGTCGGCCTTCCAGCCAAAAGTAATGCTCCCGGGCAAGTATCATGGAGTGGATGCATTCAATGTCTCTTGTAGAGTCATAGGGTTCATTACTGGGAATCAGCCGACGGGAATTGTCCCAGCGCGCGGTCTTTTCGGTCTTTTACCTCTACAGTTGTTTGAGGCTAGAGGAGGCCTGACGAATGCGTTCCAACGTTCCCTTTGGCATTTTCTCTTCATAGACGGTTCACTTGGCGAATTTTCTTCTACATTTCTGCAACATCACCTAGCTTTTCATCGCAGGACCGTGCCTTCGACATTTTGTGATGCAGGTTTAATCCTAAGCACATCCAGTCCTAAGTAGTTCTCCCAGCATGACTCCCTCCCGCGTCCTACCTCCTATGTACCTACCGTCCTACCAAATTTCAACTACTTAAGAATCCCTAGAAAATTACATTTTCCTCAGAGAACTGGAGCGAGCGAGGTGGGGGAGGGGGAGAGTTAGAAGCTCATCTATCACCAATAACTAGGAGCAGTGATGGTATCGTAAATTTGCTGCGCAGCCATGTAGCCAACAAAGGGGAACTATATAGAGCGTGTTAAACGGGAAAAATCGGCAACCGGGAAAATTCCCTGGCGGCTTTGAAGAACTCTTCCAGGACTGCGTCAGCGTCCACCAGGGACCACTAGCGTTCCGAACATCCAGCAGCTTTTTCAATGAGCAGGAAAGCATAGATATCGATGTGGCTTCATCCAGCATCTACCAGCGACCATCAGCGTCCACCAGCGACCAACAGCGTCTCGAGGGCTAGAGAAACGGTAGGTCGATATCTACACCTTCCCAGTCACTGATGCTGCCGGACGCTAATGGTTGCTAGTGGATGCTGCCACAATGTATGAACGCAGCCTCATACAGACCACGCACTGTTCCTCGGTGAGATTCTTTCGAGGAAGTTATATCTCTATTCTATTCAGTGGAAGTCGTAGAGCCATTCCAAAAAAATTAAATATCTCTTTAGAGAACCTACGATGTTTGGACCATTTATTTATATTTATTTGCCATGTCAATATTTTACAATATGTGGCACCTCATTAGATCAATCCATTCCTTCTTCGTCATGCATCTTGCCGCATTTTGCCAATTGCACGTAATCAGCACTTTCTTAAACTCATCTCTCCATCGGGATTTCGGTCGTCCAATCCGTCTTCGCAAATATGGGTGCCATTCCGTGAGCAGTTTTGACCACTTGTTTCTACTTGAACGAGCCATTTCCCAGGCGTAACTCCACTTCCTTTCTAAGGCTTTCTCCACCACATCCTTAACTTTCGTCACCCCACGTAACCAGGCATTTGTCTTATGATCCAGAAGACGTACTCCTACCATGCGACGCTCCATCTTTCTTTGTGCACGTATGAGTCTGTCTTTCATTGTTCTTGTTAACACCCATGTTTCGGAGCCATATAGCATAGCAGGCAATACGCACATGTCGAACAGTCGACGTTTCCATTTCATTTCCACGTTTCTCGATGTGAAAAATTCCTTGTATCGTAGAAATCTTCCCCAACCGATGTGAATGCGTCGTATGATCTCTCCGGAAAAATCGTGATACAGAGAAATTTCTTGTCCGAGATAGGTGAATGTCTGCACTTGGTCTAGCTGAACATCCCTATAGAAGATCGTTGCCGTTGTTCTTGCCATTATCTTTATTTTGCAGAATTTATTTTTAGCCCACAACATCTAGAGTTTTTGTCGAGGTCATCTATCATTGTTTGTTCTTCCTCGGACTTCGCAATAAGGACGACATCATCAGCGAATCGAAGGTTGTTCACTTGGGTTCCGTTGATTGTCAGTCCATAGGTGGACCATTCCAGTTTTCGGAATATATGCTCGAGAGTAGCAATGAATAATTTTGGTGAAATAGTATCTCCTTGGCGAACTCCGCGATTTATCTGTATGGGTATATGTTCCTCACAAAATCGGACTTTGGTATGATATGTGTTTGTTTGTTTGTTTATTCGAATTTGTTTAACCCATTCGTTTCTCTCCATTTCAGTCTCAATGTCGGGTGCTTGGTGTTCATTTTGTGAGGTTGGTGTGCTCGAATTTGTCGGTCTCTTCGCTAATTTCTGCGCAGGATGGTGAAAACCAATACGGAATTGTTGGGCAAACTGTGTATTTACTATCTGACTGAAGCTTTCCGACTATTCTACACCCTTTAGGATTTAGATCAGTTGTTTGTTGAGTTCGGCTTCTAAGGTATGTATTATCGTCCCCTATACCCGATTCCTGAATGTAAAGCTGTAGGCTGTCCAATTTGAGTGTTTTGGTCGATGGCTGCGGACCTGAATTGTGTTACCAGCTGTTTGATGAGCCTGAGGGACTATGAACCCCTCGCTTGAGGTCCCCCTTGGTTTGCTCGCCTGGGGTCCCGGACGAATTCGTTCGTAACGGGTTAAGTTGTCAGCAAGCCCCAGTACTGTCGTCGAATCCTTGCGTTCAGAACCAAGGACCAGGATCTCGCGGGGGACTCTTTCATCTTCCTAAAGGGGAAAACGGCCTTATTATCAACACAGGGAAGGTTCCGGTGATCTATTCAGTTCAAATTCTAATTCAAAACACAGCCTACTTGCTATCCCGAGATTTATTAGCTTCAGTTTTAAAAGTTGTTCGTGTTCGTTGTTGTCTTTGTTTATTTTTTTTTCTTTTTATAGTGCCATCCCCCAATTGAGTATGTTTCTCTCTTTTTTTCAAGCTGAGCTGATGAAGATCTCCAAGTGATATTCGTGGCTCTTCTCAATAATCTCATTGATAGCGTGAATATGGTCTATCGTGGAGAAACGTTTTCGAAAGCCGGCCTGTTCGTTAGGTTGTTCGTTATCTAAAAGCTTTTCTAAGCGTTCGTTGATCACCTTTGTTAACAACTTATACAGGACAGGCAGCAATGAAATGGGACGGTAGTTTTTGAGCTCTCTGGGGTCCCCATTTTTATGGAGTAGGATAGTTATAGAGTCTGCCATTCCCTCTGGGACGGAACCGGTGCGGAGGCATTTATTGAAAAGCTCAGTGTTTCTACCTCGCTCGAGAGAGCTCCCAGTTGGCAGGTTGCCA